GACCCATCTGGAGGGAGCCCCAGACAGACAGGAAGAAGGTGGGCAGGGCTGGAGGCAGATCCTCAGGCCCTCCAATGGGGAACAGTGCCAGCCAAAGCCATGCCAGGGACTACGATAGGCTGAATTCAGAAACTTGTAAAAATCCTGCTCAAGAAATCTTGAAGAAGGCTTCAACAGGTAGACATTAGTTAAATAAGTGAAGTGAAAATATTACATGAATAAAATCAAAATACATTACGTGCATATACAAAATGTCACAATGAAATCCATTGTATATAATTAATGTATGCTAATATGTTTCTAAAATACTACATAAGATTCAGAAGCACAATAATAATTAGTTTTAAATACTAACCATGTTAACATATCACAAAATATATCAATTTACTCAATTTTATTCCTTTTATTTTATCTTATTTTTGGAGACAGGATCTCACTAAGTAGCCTAGCCCTCACTTTATAGACCAGGCTGGCCCTGAACTTATAGAGATCTGCCTGCCTCTGACTCCCAAGTGCTGGGATTAAAAGCACACACCACCAAGCCCAGCTGACTACTTTAAATACCAAAAAATAGCTTATCCTTCCCTTGAGTATTTTCTCATTTTTGTTTATATTAACACTCAATGGCCTTTCAGATTCTAACTATTCCTTATTTAACTCTCTAAAACAAGTTAACTTATTCCCACTTCCTAGCCATTCTTACTGGAGCTAAGCCAGAATGAAGTTGTAGACCTATCAGTTTTCATAGCTGCAGCAGTCAGTTGTTCACTGGAAGGATGTAGCTGAGTACGTGTGAAGTTCTGGGCCCACAGCATCCTAAAAAAAATGGCCAAAGCTACAACACTGTGTGGAGAATAATAATTCTCTCTGAGTTAAAAGAAAAGAAAAAAGATAGATGAGCCTGAGTTTTTTCCAACCTTAAACTCGCCATGATGTGATGGATCGCCGCGATTCTTCATAAAAGTAGAATGAGAACAACTGCTTGTGGGAGATTTCCACAACAATAGAACGCAGCTTTCCTTCCACCGCTTCCAGGATAGTTCCCATAGTTCTCTCACACGCTGAGAAACTTCTGGAGCACCAAGTACATACGACACAGGGATCGCTCACACGGCAGCTTCACGTGGCTGTGCCCCACACTCCCGCATCCAGCTTGTCCCAAAACTTCAAGGGTGCAAATGCAAACACAAAAACAATAGTCCTGCTGTCTTTGCACTGGGTCCTTTTGTTTTCCTGGCCCTGTGGGTCCAGAGCAAAGAAATGGTAGGGCCCTGCTTTCTGTTCCAAGCTTCTCACTGGGCTTATTCTTCTGGAAGGTTTTACTGACTTCCGAATGAAAACAAATGTTTGGATGGAATTTGGTGTGGTACAAAATAAGAAAATGTGATACATGTGGAAACACTTACATTCTATAACAATTTACCAAGCAGGGGGACACGTGGACTCAAGACACTCCAATTGGGCCAATGATTTGGCTCGCGTGGTAGATCCTAGTGTCTCATGCTCAGAAGAGCATCGCTGTTATTTGTAGCTCTTTGCTTTCTCCAACCGAGGGGTTCGCTTGGTTCTCGAACCAAGCCCCAGCTTCTTCTGATAAACATGAACAGTAACTCATAATATTAATGACCATCAGCTGAGTGCACCGGGGATATCCGTGTCACTCCGTGAGCATGGGTAAAACCACATACTATTCAAACAAACCAGAGCGGAGGTATGAGAAACTTGAGCCTGTCTCAGCAATGCTGTGGCTCCCAGGCTGGGCAGTGGCTTCCTGTGGGGTAGGAAGGCGGTTGATTCTTGTGTTGGCTGTTCTGCACACAGCCGCTTTTGTCTTTTCACCTACTTCCTCCTGAACACAGATCCTCATTCTCCTCCATCTTCACGAGGCATTGTAAGCGGCCTCCCGAGCAGCTTGGTGGCGGGTCCTTTGTCTGAGAAACAATGCTGCCTTTCCTCCTACAAATAGCAAGCCCGGCCAACCTCTTGCTCCAACTGCTCAGAGCCAGCGGCCCACTGAATGTGTAAGGGTGGGCGGGAGGGAGGGGAGCTCTGACGCACCGGAAATAATGATGGCAAAGGTGGCAGAAGCTCTGGGTACCAAAGAAAGCTGCTTGACTTGCTGACCCAAGTCAATCACCAGGATGGAGAAAGGCTGGCCCAGGAGGAAGAGTCCCTTTTCCAACATGACAGTCCTGGACCCCATAGTCTGGGTGCCTGAGAGCCACCTCCCCCAATTCCCTGGGTCAGCATGGCCTCATTAGTCAATCAGAGGTCACATGGGTTCCTTTGGTTTCCAGACGTGTTGTAAAACAAAGCGGGATTTGAACCTTCATCACTAACTCCCAGACATCCTCAGATGCCACAGACTGAACATGAGTCCGTTCTCAACCATCCATGAGCACCACGGGATGAGTCTGCTGTGAGACAGCTGTGCTCTCCAGTGACTTCACACCCGCCACTTTCCCACTTCCTGGCCAACACCCACTCACTGTGAGTTTGGCTGGACCAGGAGCTCCCGGTTGGCACTTGGACTCTTCGGCATTTTATTTGGGTGAAAGTACACATTTCCTTAACAAATGGGCTCTTTGTGTTTGCAACATTTTATGATACATGTTTGGGGATTTTATATATTCAACATGCAACTTCATCCAAGGCTTCAGGCCTGCCACACACAAGCCCCAGAGTCTTTCCTCAAGCCACGTAAGGGAGAAGCAGAACAACCAGAAACCACAGCTCCTCCAGACCCAACAGAGAAGTGAGGGCCCGAACATGCTATCATCCCCCAACCGGAAGGACAGGCATTGCAGAAAATGACAGGTTATCTGTGCAGAAGCTTCCCAGTGCGAGGTTAGGGAGCCAGGACAAGGAAGCCTGAACCACCACCAATGATCCCCTGAAGTTCACTGTGGAAATGCCTGTGAGACCAGAGCTCAAAGGGATCGTTGTAAGAACACAGTGCTCAAAAACAGAGGGATGTGTTTGTCTGTTAGGTTTGGGGCCAGTCTCTTTCTGTATGTGAATCTCTAACCCTCTGACAGATTCCCCAGTTCCCCAGATTCCGAGAGAAACAATGGTGCCCTAACTCTCATTTCCAAGGACATGTACAGATTACCAGACTTTAAAACATCAGAAGAGCTAACAGTGGCATTGTAGCACAGCCCCTGGGTACCCATCTAAATGTTCCTCTCCTCCCCCACATCCTTCTCCAGGATTCAGGACACACACACCCATCCCACCACTGGGAATCTGTCCACATGCCTGTGCTATGGTCTACTCATCAACTCTATGGCATGAAACCTCCCTTCCTCTGAAACCTATAAGGGACCCCCACTCTGCCTTATAGGTCTGACCTCTCTTCCAAGGCCCTGCTAAGCTGTTATCTGTCTATAGTGTTAATAACTATTCTAATTTCTTATCTACAGTATTAGTAACTAATCTAATAAATATCCTGTCTATAAAATTAGTAATTATTCTAATAAAACTCTTGTCTATAGTATTAATAAATATTCTAATAAATCTCTTACTCAAAAGGAGAATCTGCCTCAGCGTCCCCTGAACCCCAAGTCTAAGACTTCTCAGTGTCTTCCCACAATGCCAAATTTTCACTGGCAGCAACTTGCTGGAAACTCTCGCTCTCCTCAATCTGACTTACTAATTATTACAAATTACTTACTATTAAATGTCAGATCACACATTCATATTGCACCAAAAAATATGTATTCTCATATACACAGACATTTATATAGATATAATTGTATTGTATATAAATATGTATGATACAGAATGCTAACAAAAGGTTAAAGAAGTCCCAAAGAGGCCTAAGAAGCTAGAGGGCTAAAGCTGGGAAAAACTGGCAGAAATGGAGAGGGGTGAGCTAGCAAACCAGCGGGGGTCTGCGGAGAGGCACAGCCACCACTGTTGCACAGTCCTGAGTCTGGCTGCTGCTGCAACAGGGCAGCAACAGGTCCCGATAAACCAACAGAGATGGACGGCGGGTCTAGATGGTGAGCAGGCATGGACAGAGAACAGTTTGAGTAGGTCATGTCAAAAGCAGTGGCCAAGCCAAGCTGAAGACTCTGGGATAGTGGGGAGCCACCTGGCATGTCAGTAGTCAATACTTAAGGTATAACAGGAAGGCTGTGCTCTAATTGCTTGGTGAGGCTGGACCACTGCTTCCACACGATTTGTCAGAAGGACTCATTCTGAGCAGCAGCCCACACTTGATTCTGTTGGAAGCTGGGGCGTGGTGTTGCTCAGATGGGCAAAGGGAGCGCAGAGTGCTTTCTGGGTTCACCCGTGCCTTGATGAGGGACACAGCATCCCCCCCCCCATGTTAAAAGAGCATTGGACAGGCTATTTTTTTAAAGCATTTCTGGCTCAGACAATGCATAACCTTTTACCAGGCTAAAGAGAGAGACCTAAAACAGCTTTGGCACATCTCCACTCTTAAGAAGGACTTTTCCCGAGGTGCGACAGTAACCGATTTACCTCGTCCTGGTTGTTGAACACACTGGGTTCAGAGAAGCCCATTGTCCAGCACCAACATCCACCACATGTCATACCTGCGAGAGGGGGCCAGAAAGCTGGCAGGCAGGCAAGATGCTCAAGACTCCTTGGAAGCCAGCCATGAGTACACAGTTTCCTGCACCCAGCACTAGAAGCTTCCAGTTCTTGGCAGCATTTCTCCTTGTTTTTTTTTTTTTAAAAAAAATCAATTCATTCTGTCTCACTCCTCTTTCCACACCCCATCCTTGTCTTTGGGATCCCATCAATATTTATGTAATAATACTTTTAAAAGACCCCAGAAAAGCTGACTCTACGCTTCCTGCCCAACAGGCCCAATTTCTCTCTAGATCATATCATTGTGACTGCCCAGTGAATCCCCAGGGTGCACAGTCAATGGGGCCCTGTATGCGGGCTGGCTGTCCAGCACCTCCCTACCCTTGGCCCCCATTGGCAGCCTCAGCCTGCAGCGGACTGCGCCAAGCCCACACCCAGTCCTCTCTGGAAGAGGAATAAGACGCTGCTCTGTCTACGCTCCTGCCTCTCAGACACCGAAGCCAGAGAGGACACCAGCAGCAAAAGGTGACCAGGAGGTGAGACGGAGCCACTGACAGGACTCAAGAAAAACCACTCTCTTTCCTCTTCTTTCCTCGAAAGGTGAGGGGTGGAGGGGATAGGATGGAGAGCTGAAAATTAAAAGGCCCTTTGGGGACATTTGGCAGCATTTCAAAATTGCCGATGACATTCTGTGATTTAAGCCTGACTTTACTGTTTTCTTATGACCGTTGTTGATATTGTCTGCAGTTTTATTTTCATTAAGACAGGGAAACCTAAAGTCATTTTGGATGACTCAGAACGACCGTTGGTGTTTTCAGAGGTGGCACATATATATTGCTTCTTTTCTAACTCCGAAGGCAAGCTTTTTCTCTCCTGGTGCATGGTTAGCCCCAATCCTCAGCTAGAGCTCCCCCTTCCTCGCAGCCACTTTTCCCGTGACCCTGAAGCGCCCCTGCAGGCTTTTCTAGTTTCTCTATTTGAAATGCTAAGCTCCTACATTTCCAGACACCACAAAAAAAAAAAAAAAAAAAAAAAGAGTTAAATCTTTTCAGATAATTATGAATTGGGATAAAGAAACAGGGGTTAGGAATGGGCTCTGGTTTCCATTACCGCCTGCGGAGGGACAGTCTCCGTGAGGGCCTCTTACCTTACAGGCAGCATTTTTCCCAGAAGCGCAAGTCCTCTGCTTTCCTTACAAAAAGACGAATGCAAAATGTTCACAGGGGCATTTGCTGCATCTGTCTTTGAGGGCCAACTACAAGCCAGTGCTTCTTTAGATGAAAGGAAGAACAGAGGGAATTTGTAATGTGGTTATGAAAACAGTTGAATCTGGTGGATGTTTCTAGCATATGGGATATGTGTAATGCCTTTTCTTTTTAATTTCTAGTCCCCATCCAAAAATCCGTGTTAACCCTTTCCTCCTACAGCCAAGACTTTGAGAAGTGTCAAGCATGATAAAGAGTTTCTCGAGATTTATTTTTTTTTTTAATCAGTAACTGTGCTAGGTATGGGCCAACGGTCAGGGGTCAGAGGCAAGAAGACCATGACTTAGAAGAGAGCCTGGGGTCAGTGAAACCTTAGCTTAATCTTAAAAAAGAAAAAAAAAAAGCAAGCTGGGTGATGGTAGCACACGCCTTTAATCACAGCAGAGGCAGGTGGATCTCTGTGAGTTTGAGGCCAGCCTAGTCTACAAGAGCTTGTTCTAGGACAAGTTCCAAAGCTACAGCAAAACCCTGTCTTAAACAAAACAAAACAAAAACCAAAAAAGTGATTCTCTTATTCTATTACTGCCCTTCTTACTGTTCTTTATAGGAACTAAACTTATTTTCTTTCATAAAAATAAACAAAAAATCCAGTAACTGGGGCCAGAGAGATGGCCCAGCATCCATAGGCAGCTCACAGCTGCCAGTAATTCTAATTCCAGGGGATATGACATCCTCTTCCAGCCTCTGCAGGCACCAGTGTATACGTTAGCGACAAGCGTGCAGGCTTGCACACATACATGCAGATATTTTTTAAACTAAAAAACAATATTATACTTTAGTCCCTCTGGATAGTTCTGCTTATATGAGGTCCTCCAGGTGTCTGGGATTTCTGAGCAAAACAAAGTACCTTGACATGGTAGAACTTTAGCAGACAAGGTAAAAACCTTCAATCCGTTTCCTTTGGGAGATCATTAATAAAAAAATCTAAAAAGTTAACAAAGTTTTATTCTAAAACGTAAAATATTCAACATGGGAGTGAGATTTCAACCATTTTGTTGTTGCCCGTTTTTAGTTAGGACCGTGCAGGGTCTGCTTTAAGGATCAGAACTCAAGGCCAAGGGCTGTCACATGTCTCTGCCCAAGTGGCTGTTTTCCCAAGGGAGCCACAGGCTGCCTTTGTTAACTGAGTCACTCTGAGAACGAGCCGGCCCTCCCGGCATGCACCCCCAGTCTCTTCAGGCGCTGGCTGTGCATCAGGTGCCCGCTGCGAAGGCTGTTTGCTCCTCGCTGGCATTCCTGCTCACAAAGAAGCCCCTGTGCTGGGGCCAGGCTAATGAATAGGCATGGGACGCCTGGCTGTGGAGCCCTGGTCTCCCGGTGTTAGGACACCAGCAGAATCAGATGACCTTGGACTAATGTTTCTGGAAGGTCATTTCACTGCTGTCTTTCAGAACGGGGCAGTGTTACGATTATTTCCCAGATGAATTTTACAGTTTTAATGTTTGTCACCTATCCCCCCCCCCCAAAAAAGTCACTCATAATTTTTATTTAAACAGCTTAAATTTATATATTAATTCGAATAAAGATAAGCTCCTTGTCTTAGTTAGGTTTCTATTGCCATGATGAAACACCATGACCGAAAAGCAAGCTGGGGAGGAAAGGGTTTACTCAGCTTCTGCATCACAGTTCATCATTACAGGAAATCAGGACAGGAACTCAAGCAGGGCAGGAACCTGGAGGCAGGAGATGATACAGAGGCCATGGAGGGGGGCTGCTTACTGGCTTGCTCAGTCAGCTTTCTTACAGAAGCCTGGACCACCAGCCTCCGGATGGAACCACCCACAACGGGCTGGGCCCTTCCCAATCAATCGCTCCTTAAGAAAATGCTCTACAGCTGGCTCTTATGGAACATTTTTCTCAGTTGAGGTTCCCTCCTTCCAGATAGGACTTCAGCTTGTGTCAAGTTGATATAAAACTATCCAGGATGCTCCTGTTCTTGTTCCTCAGGCTCTTCTGGAAGCACATTCTTTTCTTCTGCACTTCTCTTCCTAACCCCTGACATTATTGCTAACTGAGGATACTGTTTACTGCTTTTAAAAACGGTTTGTTGATGTTGACTTTGTACTAGCTGCTTGTCCTCTTGGTGTCCTCAAATCCACCAGCTAATGCTACACCCTGGTGAGCTCCAGGATTGGGGGGCCACCAGGGAAAGCTGGAATCATCCCCTGGCGTTCTGCATCAGCACCTTTGCTAGTTCCTCATCGACATAACCCAACTGTTGTGATAGGAGCGGCGGGCTATGTTCCTGGCACCTGGCCGCCCGCAAGGCTAGCTTTACCCGAAATAATTACACGGAAACTGTATTTTTTTTAAACAGTGGTTGGCCCATTAGTTCCAGCCTCTTATTGGCTAGCTCTTACATATTGATCTAACCCATTTCTAATATTCTGTGTAGCACCACAAAGTGGCTTACCAGGAAAGATCTTAACCTGCGCCTGTCTGGAGTGGGAGAATCATAGCGACTCATTGACTAGGCTTCTTTCTCCCAGAATTCTGTTCTGTCTACTCCGCCTACCTAATTTTCTGTCCTATTAGGGCCAAGCAGTTTTCTTTATTAGTTAACCAATGAAAGCAACAGATAAGATACAAGACCCACCTCCATCACCCAACCAGAAGCCAATCGTCCTGGAAACTTAACCCTGTGGCCCACGGGGACACAGAAGGGAGGTGGCAGGCCTAGAAGGCAGAGAATGGTCTGTGGTCATTGTGGAGTCGCAGAATGCCTCTCCTGGCCAGACTTCTCCACCCCTCATTTGGGCTGAGGTCTGCAAGCAGCCTATTAAACTCTTCAAAGAACAGGGCGGAAACCATGTAAAGCTGTCCTTCTTCTGCAGCCTCCAGGATGTCTGAGCTGGAGAAGGCCATGGTGGCCCTCATCGACATCTTCCATCAGTATTCCGGGCGCGAGGGTGACAAGCACAAGCTGAAGAAATCGGAACTCAAGGAGCTCATCAACAATGAGCTCGCCCACTTCCTGGAGGTAAGGAAGGATCCTTACAGGAGGATCGCTGAGCTGCGCCAGAAACGGTTCTCAGGCGGCTTCTGGAAGCTTGCTCAGACAGCTAAGCCCCTCCACGTATAAGCTCTTCACATAGAATTAGAGCTCTATCAATAGAAGCTTAAAACACTCGCTGCTACCATGATTTTAGGGCCGAAAAACATGATGTCACACTTATTAATGATAGCTTATGTTAAGATTTCAAGGTATCCTACACGTTTGCTGGCTTGGCGTAACAAAAGGACTAGAGAAAATCAGCTCAAAGGAGGGGATCAGGGAGCCTTTGATGACGGTGCCCACCTGAAGGAGGGAAACAAAGAAAGGAAGGGCATGGCCTAGTGATCACTTCCTCCCAAAGGTTCTACCACCTCCCTGTGGTGACATGGGCTGGCACCAAGCCTCCTCCACAGGAGCCTCTGGAGGGCACGTAGCATCAGAATCCTAGCACCTGTGGTATAACTGGAGGAACTATACTGTGCTATCTATGTTTTGGAAGATATTTCAAAGTTCTCATGAGCTGCCGGGAATTACCATCTTTGGAACTCAGGGAAGCCTGACTTCTCCTCAGAGCTCTTCTGCGGGGGAATGGGGGATTGGGGAGCAGGGTTGTTCACTGAAACAGAACTGAGGATCTTCAGTGCTCAGAGTCCGCGCCCTTCCCACCCGTCTCCAAGGCTGCACTCTTGATGCATTGGCAGCCTCACCGTTTCTTCTGGTCTGGGCATCAGTTAGTAGCCTCACCATCCATCTGGTTTTGGTGTCAGAACGGTCAGAAAAAAAAAAAAGCCTATGACACCTAGGGAATAACTCAAGAAGACAGAAGGGCAGGACAGCTAGCAGCTCTGACACATCCTCAAGGGTTATTTTAGCCAATCTGCATGGCTCACAAACGCATGCGTGCTCAGGAGCACTGAGCTCACTGGCTCCGGTTGAGACGGACTGCACATGTCTGTTTCTTCTTGGTTCCCTAGTTTAAAGTAACCCCGGGTCCCACTAGACCAGAGGGAAGAGGACAGGCATAGACCCTCCCCGCTTCCCTCTGGCTGGCTGTCCCTGACTCACAGAGGACTGCTGGATTTCCTCATTTCCTATGTTGGGATTGTTTTTCTGATGCAAATGATCAGCCTAGTACTTTTAATAACATTTTGATAGCGCTATATCGCATCTAGAAAGGACTTAATCGGCTTTTCTTTTTTCTCTCTCTCAGGAAATCAAAGAACAGGAAGTCGTGGACAAAGTCATGGAAACACTGGATGAAGATGGAGATGGAGAGTGTGACTTCCAGGAATTTATGGCCTTCGTCTCCATGGTGACTACAGCCTGCCACGAGTTCTTTGAACACGAGTGAGACAGAAAAGGAGCAGTGCCTTTCCTGTGGCAGACACGAAGGTCACAAGCGGAAGCAGAGCGAAGGCTTGCAGGCTCGAAGGAGCTGAGCTATCCAGCCACATGTAACTAATTAGGAAGCTGATTTGCTTTGGGAAGGAAAACAGGAAGCCTTCCCAAAGCTGCTTTAAGTTAGCCCACCACTATTTCTGCTACGTTAGGCATTCCTGTGAGCTGTCTGGTCCCAGGAAGGATTGGTGAAGAATCACTTCGGGGACGAAATCAATGCTCAGCAGTAAAGCATGCGTTGCAGACCGCCGTGCCCCTGTAGAAGCAGGACCCAGAAGAGTCAAGGCAGGCCACCAACCGCAGGTCTGTAGGACAGCATTCTTAATGCTTCCAACAGACCCGAGCCTCCACAGCTGGAGCCACTGTCACTGGAAGAGGCTGCTTCTCCTTAGCACCTCCCTTACCCTGTTTGTGCCAACGATGCCCAAGAAAGCAGATAGTCTGGTCACAACACCCTGCCCGGCCCAAATGAGCAGGGCCACTTAAGTCTCTGCTTCCAGCGAGCAGCTGTTGCTAAGTAAATATTTAATGGCAACAGTTCTATAGGTCTCACAAACTAATATTAACATTCTAACTCGGGACTGAGAATCAAAATTCTATTCGGCAGACTTCTTTTAGGATGGCACTGTTGTTCGTGTAGGACATGGACAGAGGAGACTGGCCACAGTGTAATGTTGGGGAATAATCTTTCTGTACACTGTGAAGACGTGTCACTCTGACTGGTTTAATAAAAAGCTGAACGGCCAATAGCTAGGCAGGATTTTCAGGGCCGAGAGAATGCTGGGAAGAAGGGGGGGAGTCAGCAGCCAAATGGACAGGAACCAGGATGCGGAGCACAGAGTAAAGGTAACCTAGCCACAGAAAAGAATGTAGATTAGAAGAGAGGGGTTAATTTAAGTTATAAGAACTAGTTAGAAATAAGCCTACGCTACCGGCCAAGCTTTCATAACTAATAATAAGTCTCTGTGTCTTTTTTTTTTTTTGTGAGCCTGTGGCCCAAAGGAAAATCTACCTACAAAGGGTGTGTAACATGGTGGCTGCATTTTCTTATATACTTTCATATATAAGACCTGAGAAAACTTAAAAAAAAAAAAAAAAGGTTCCAAACTGAGCCAAATGCTGCTTCCTAGTCCCGAAGTCTCTCGTATGGGCTGAGGTATATGTTATTATATATAGTTTTACTGTGTTACAGTTAAAAAAAAAAAAAAACCCAAAAAACAAAAAACCCCTTCCTTCTTTTTTTTTTTTTTTTTTTT